TCCAAAAAAGGAAAAAGTGGCTGGTAATGCTTATTGTCTTTCTCAAAAAATGATTTTGCAGCAGTAAATTTAGCTGTGAACTGCTTCTATTACTGCTTCTGAACTACTTGTTCAGAACCTGTTTTTTTTAAAACAAATGATCAGTAAGTTTTCTGTCCTTGAGGAAAGTATGTGTATAAGGAGATAACTTCAGAAGGTTCAATTTTAACTAATACAGTAATTCTTAAAAATAAAAAAATCTCTCATGGTGAGGGCAAGAACGTGAATGCTGATGTTTGATTTGTCCATGTAACAAGCTTACAAGCAAACAGATATTCTTTTTTTAAAAAAGGTAATCAACAGATATAAGGCTTAAAACATGGTTCCAATTTTGAGAAATGACTGCAAGCATGTCACCTATTTGCCCCCCAACTTTTTTTTAACTGGCTCTTTGGTTTAGTAACAAAAGCAAGTTTTTCTGTTCGCTTTTTTTTTGTTTTTTTCAAAGCTCTCATCAGCCTGGCACAGCTGGGGAGGAGGCAGCTGTGTTCAGCTCTGGCACATGCAGCACTTCAGCTAAATCCCAATTTCTGAATCTTTGTCAGTGGAGGTTTATAACAGAGCACAAAGTGATACAAAGAGGAACTGCAAGGCCCAAGAGTACGCAGACCTGTCATTTGTTTATAGCGATCACGCAGTTGTTTCCATCAAGAATTATCTGTCTTTTGATATCACAGCAGTTCTGATTTCATTATGAGTTACCTAAGGAAAGAGTCCAATGCTTTTGTTAATTCCATTTTCATTGGTGGTGTTTTGACATTTTGTGTTTTACTTTTATAAGATATAGTTAGTATTTCTGTTTGATATTTTGAATAGTATTTTAACCTGCAATTTATATCTTATCTGTACTTTGATAATCCATCTCTTGGGTTAGATGTTAACCAGATTGCAGTTGTCATATTAGTTCTTTTTAAGGTTCTGCTTGGATTAAAGCTTAGAGTTAAAGAACTTTCTTTTTAACTTGTTTTTTTTTTCTATGTGAAAATCTGCATTTTCCTTCAAAAAGAATGCATTTGCAACTCCTCTGAGGTTTGGGACACTTGTATGATAATGATGAAAAAGTGAGAGTGAGTAATTTAGAAATCCAGGATATGATTATGCTTTATTTTTCGCATTTTCTTCGTATGTAATTTAGAGAGTAATTTTCCCTTCTCAATAGATAAAATAGAGGAAAATCAAGGCCCTTCTGATGGCTGATATACATAGGCAAAAGAAATCTAAATCTGTAAGTTATGATGCCCTCCACTTGCTCTTGTCTCCATAGGATTCTTGCCCTACCTTACATCCCTTCTCCCCATTGGAGCCATCTCTGGCTCACCAATTTCAGAGGTAGATTCAATTGATGCACCACTTCTTTGGGGGAAGATTCTCAGCCATACTGGTTGGGAACTCGATCAGTTCACAAAGGAATTCAAGAAGTACAAGAATGGCATGAGGCCAGAAGGTGAGGGTTCCTTGACAGAAGCTGGAATCTTCCCACTACATAATCAAGGGATAGGTAAATTGGCTGTAGTCAGCTTGGTAACTTTACCCTTACAGTGCCTGCCTTGACTGTCAGCTGAGCAAGGCCTTGCAGAGGCAGAGTTCTTAGGTCAGGGCAGGCAGTCAGTGGGGATGTGCATGTGTACTCAGTCATAATAAGGAATCCTTTTGCCATGTTAGGTTAAACTTGCTACTAGGCGTTTGGTTATGTTCACCCACGTTGTTTTTTCCTGTAGCAAACCATGACATAGTAATGTCTATGCCAAGATTTGCGGAAGTGGTAGGCAAATAGTACTGAGAAAAAGACCAAAAAGGAGGTTTAGAGGCAGCAACAGCATAAGCACCACTTGCTGGGCACTTCCACCCTATGCTGTAGACACTTTTGCCATGCAGATGACTGAAAAGGACTTCTCAGTAAATGACTGGAGAGAAAGTTCTCTGGAATGCAGCATCCTTGTATCAGGCTGGCAGTCATCTTCTCCATGAATTTATGGTACTAGCTTTGATTGTTAAAAAAAAATTCCATTTACCTCACTGGAATTTCCATCTTTTGGAAGACAACACAGAATTGGAATTCTGGACTGATGCAGCAGTGGTTCCAGCCAGATGTGTTTGTCTGGCAAGGGCTGACAGCCACTTGATGCCAGGAAACACTTTGGGTTCCCTTCCTTGTGCTGACACAAGGCACAACTGGGGGTGCCACTTACTAATGCCAGTATAACTTCTCCTCCCCTAATTCAGATTAGTAGATAAATGGGTGCTATTATTAATTGACTGAATAATTTGAACTATTTCAGGGAGAAAACTGATGAGAGTGTAGGTGAAGGGTTGTCTCAGATACAGTTGCAGACAGCATACATTGCAGTGCTATGGTTTGGGGCAAACTGTTTCAAATTCTTTTTATAGCTAGGGCATCTAAAAAAAAATCTAAATCCAACACTTTGCTGTAGAGGCCCTCTCTGGAATACCAAAGTAAACTGCAGTGTGGATTAAGAGCAAGAGGATTATTTCTTCAGCAGAATAATCTGTGAATTGTGCTTACGCTGACTAAAGCCAGCTTCTGCAAATGCTTTAAAATTGCACTCTTTCTTGAAATCTGCTCTTTCAGTGAGCGAAGGCAGGTTGCCTTTACTCCTTTAATAATGCAAGATGGAGCACTCGAAGTGTTAAGGTAGCGATATAACCTACAGGAGGAAGATGTGATGTCAACATCTCTGCAGCGGCACGCCTCTGTGCTCCTGCTCACATAGCTTCCAGAAACGATAGCCCAGAAATCTGTGGAAAATTGTAGGCAACTGTACCAGCTCTCACTTTTTTCTTTTTCCTAAGAGCCAAACTGGCCTTTATGCGCTATTAATTTATTAAATTGTTTATCTTAGGGCAAGACTGTATTTACAGAACCTAACGTGAAAACAGCATAGTGTAGCTTGGGATTTAAAAATGTCACTGCACATAATGTCAGGATAAATGGAACAGAAATGAATCTAAATTCCATCTACCCTGATGCTTCCCAAATTACTTTTTTAATCTGCTTCCAGCCAACCCTCTTAAGAAATATACCTGGCAAATAAAAATGTTCTTCATAATCATTGGGGACATTAAATATTAGTTAGCCTTGTCCCAAAGACAATAGAGACACTGCTTTTCTTCTTCCTACCTTAATCACTGTAGGTATCTTATTTTGAAGTTGTTTTCACCTTCCACCAAGGAAAGGTCAAGCTGGAATATAACTGTCTTAAAATAATCTTTACATAGTAGGATTTCTTAGACTCTTTGGACAAAGACCTTGTTTCGCATTTTGAGCAATCTTTTTTCTGCAATAGAACACTGAATGTGTCTCCCTGTTGCTATAGAAATAGTATTGCATTAAATGAGGGAACCAGTGCCCTGCTGTCAACAAATCTAGTCTCTGGAGCTTGAATTTCACCACTGGGAAGATGTATACACAATTCTACAAATTATTTCTGCAGCTTATGCATAAATGTCTCTATACTCTGAAACTGTTATCTAAATTTCCCAAAGTGATAGCAAGTGGATTAGCATGGTATAATCTGTTTACTCATCTCCTAATTAAGACTTCCCCTTCAGCTTTTCCCCATCTCCCTCCCACACAGAATATATTTTTGTATTTATAGACTGAAATTTCCAGTTCTTTACATAGGAAGGTAAGGAGAAGCAGGGCAAGCAGCTTTCTCACCAGGCTCCCTGACCCACAGACAGCAAGAAATACTGGATTTAATCTTTTTTTTTTTTAAACCCAGCTCCTCCAAGTAACTCAAGATGTTACTTGCCCTGTTATTTTGTTTTCCAGCACTAATAAGGATTTTTTGAAAGGATGGCCCAAACTCACCATCCACCTTGTACATTAAAAATCCCACATACCCACCTGTTTTCCTCTAGTTCCAAGACACGCCATATACCCAGTATTTCTAAGTTACACTGAGATTTTGCTCCGAAACCTTTCTATTCTTTCATAAGTTAAAGATGAGCACTGTGGATTCCCTTCCCTTGAACCAACACAACACATATTAAATCTCACACTGGTCTTTACATTTAGATGTATGGATGTGATATTTTTCAGTAATTTTTTAAGTGTCAAATTCTACTAATTCTAGTAATAGCAATAAGGTACAAGGTGTATCTTTTGGAAATAGAAAATTAATTGAAGTCTTTACTAAAAACATCTACCAAGGGTAAGTATTTCTCAACATTAATCATAAGAATTTTGAAGAAATATGGATAAAAATGCATTTTGTCTGGTACATTTTTTGACGGGAGTCCCTGCATTGCATTTCAGTATATAATACATATATGGGGTTACAAAACTAGAACATGGACTTGTAAGCAAATGTGTAATTCTGATGTCAGAGTTCCTGTAAAATTCCTCTAATTTCTTCTTTAACAAATGCAGTTATTTTTTGTGAAACATGCTTATTAGAAAACAGTTTTGTCATAAAGAAGTCACCACAAGACAGTAATTCCATTTTTGCTGTTAAAGTAGTTCTTGTAATGAAAAAATGAATAAATTTGTTTGTGCAACCATAAAATATAAACCACATCTTAACCTGTTTCTTTCCTTGTGTAAAGCTGACTCACACCATACAATGTGGCTGCATTTTTCTCCAGATTGTCAGACTATAGATGACAAGAACTGGCCCGCCAAAGCTTTTCATGCAAAACATTGAATATGAGGTCATCTACTGCTGTGTGATCTGTTGGTTCCTCTCCAGAGCGTTACTTAATGAAAATTTCAGAGAATGGCTGAGTAATTGATAAAGGAGGGGGGAAAAAAACAGGAAGGAAGGGGCTGTGCGAAAATATAAAGTGAAGATATATTCCCTATTCTGTATCATTACAAACCTAATACTGAATATTTTCTTACTGTATATGGTATTTCCATTAACAAAAACAAACACTGAAGGTAGGAGAAGATAGCATGAACAGTAAAACGTGGTTTTGTGGTGTTTTCTTTTCTGTAGGAACCCAGTGGAGAAAGGACCAAGAGCAAGATTTAAAGAGCGTTCTGAAAAACACTGACCAGGACATCCCGTTGGTATTTGTCAGTGGAAATCATGATATTGGCAATACTCCAACAAGAGAAACAATAGATAATTATTGCAGGAGTTGGGGAGATGACTACTTCAGCTTTTGGGTAGGAGGTGTTTTCTTTCTTGTGCTGAATTCTCAATTGTACTTCGATTCTTCCAAATGCCCAGAGTTAAAGGAAGCTCAGGACGCATGGCTAAATGGGCAGCTGGCTGCTGCCAGAAAACATAAATGCAAGCATGTAATAGTGTTTCAGCACATCCCTCTGTTTTTGAGAGAGCCTGATGAAGACCATGATTATTTCAACTTGGAAAAATCAGTTCGACATGAGATAATGGAAAAGTTCCATAAAGCAGGTAATTTCTTGAGTTCTCCTTTCTCTGAATTTTTGCTTCCAATTGTTAGTGGCTACAGTGCCAGGAAAACAACAACAACAACAAAACTTGCATAGTACTGTTTTCAAGAAGTTTGGGGTACTGTTTATAAGACTTGTTCCTCTTAGGTCAAAATTATCAACCAAACCCTAACATCTTGGAAAGAAAAATAAGTGAGAAACTTTTAAAAGATGTAGCACAGATTTCACTTTGCAAGTACTGGCGAATACTAGACAACCTGATTTTTTTTTTTTTTTTTTTTTTTTTTTGTTTTAAAAAAATGGAAGATCGTGTTTTGCCATATAAAAAAAATACATTTTCCCCCCCCCCCCCCTCCCATAAAACAGAAACAGAATTCAGAATTACCTTGCAGGCTGTTTTCTTTCCCAGTGAGCCAATTTTATAGCATCATCCAGATTTATTCAGTGCTAAAGAGTCTTGCTCTGCTAAGATCCACCCTCTTTTTTATCTGTTCCTAATAGAGGTCACTTCTGGGAATAAAAGGCAGGTAGAGCATGCTTTGAATGAGAATACTGTAGCAAATCCCTTAGCTTTGTGTGATGAAACTTGAATGCCATGGAGACAGGTACACTGTGCAGCCACCTCTCCACATTGTTCCCACTGTTTCCTGCTAATTGCTTTCATGTTTCTGAAGTGTGCTAGTCCCTCAAGATTTCCTGCCAGCCTGTCATCACTGCATCAGTGTCATTTTCTCTGTATCTATGAAAGAACAAGTTATTTGGATTACCAAACAATGGAAATTACATATGATATTGTTCCTAATTTACCATGTAATTGTTAAGCCAGAACTCATCCAGAGCCAGTCTAATTTTCCAAGCTATGAATTTCCTCCTGTTTCCAATCAGTCAGGCCAAAATTCATAAATATCTGAGGGCTCTTCAGGAGACTGACATCTCGAGATTCCAGACTTAGAAGATTGCTCTTTTCCCACAAGGAGACATGCTGAGCATACCTTATATTTTGTATTAAGATATTATAAAGAAATCATTTTTGGTCACGAGTATTTTGATTAGGAATTTTGGTTTTATTACACAAAAAGGGAGACTGTGTCTTCTTTATTTCAAGAAGTCTTTCACTTCCTGCTCTCGCACTCTCCACCTCTCCCTTTGCTGCTTGTCATGATGCTTTCTTGCAGTGTTTCCAACCACTTTGGCAGACCAGCATGTAGTTATGAAACATTTCAATATAGTTCATATATTGTGTATATTTGTGTATATTTTAGGGCTTGTTGGCTTTGGGAACACACTGTTAGTAGGGTGCGCGTTGTATTTCCATTGTTAATAACACAGGATCAGACCTGGTGCTATCCCAGTTATCAAGACTTTGTGTTGATACTTTTAAGTTTATGGTATCAAACATGGAGCCACCACGCACAGAGAGAAAGATAGAGGGACAGATGGGGAAGAAAGGACAATCTAAGGATTTCAGTCTTTCCATAAACTAAGCCAAATGGGTCTTTTGGGAAATAACAAATACTTGAAGTATGGTGGTGTTACACAGAGGCTTCAGAGGTATGCAACTTCAGGAAACAACTGTTTTAAATTCTAAGCCCAAATCATATGTAAGTGGTTAGAATAGAATAACTACACACTGCAGAATGTTTTTGGTTCAAGTATCCCCTCAATGCAAGCAGAGATAAAAAGACTAGCTGTACAGGCTACATCTGGTACAAAGTACTGAATTACATTCTCACAATAGAAGTGTCCTTAACAGTTGAGGTACTTAAAGAGAAATTCATGTCCTTGTGATAATTATTTACTAATTGAAAATCTGACACTTGTAAATATGTATTACTACTACACAAAGTTAACCTATATTTCTAATCAGCATGTCTAAATAATTTTACTGATCGCATTTTTTTTCAAATCATTATAACAAGTAATGTCCCTGGAAAAAAACGATGTCAGAGATAGTGAAAATCTACTCTGTTGAGAGCACAGTTTATCATTTGAGAATACATTTGTGAAAATGTATTTCTGTAACTACTAAATGTTTAGCCTCAGTTGTCAAAGGTTGTGTGAACAATTTTTTGAATGAGGGTGAGGTCTGCTCTTCTATGTGAAATGCATATTCAGTTCTTAAGAATTTTATAGTGATGTTATAAAGAAGTGTGCTTTGTAGGGGAAAAAAAAGGAATCCAGGTACTAGTCTAGCTGAAAATCTGATCTGTGTGCCAGATGTACTCCTTCTCATATATCTCATCCAAGTGTAGTTTAATTAGCCCATTGCAGCCATTTTCTATGACCAGAAAGGTATGTGTGTTTTTGCTGAGCTACGGACGATTTTTTAAAGAGTTGTTGCCTGTGAGTCATTGCTGAGACACTGAAAATCCTTAGTACATAATCCTTAGTAGTCACACAACATAGTAAAAACCCTAATTATGCAAAACATGAGGGCTGACCTGAAAGTTATGCCTCCTGTTTTATTACATCAGCCCTGATGTCAGCGGCATCTGTTGGTGGGATGGCAGCAGAGGCTGAACCTACCCACCAACATTCCATGACAGGTTGTTGCTGTGTGACAGATGGCAGCAGAGGGGCACTGGGACAGAATGGCGCCTGACATGGAAGTGTGGGGGGAGCGAAGGGTGGAACTGAATTCCTCCATGGAGAAAAAAGGGCCTCCAATGACTTCCATCAATAGTTGCTCGGCCTCCATAAATGTTCACAGTGGCTGTGAGCCTAGGGGGGTGTAAGTGAGTGTTTCAACAGTGGCAGTCACTTTCACTGGTGCAGATTTTTACAAGCGCTGCCTGCAGGCTCTTGTTCATCTGTAGTGAAAGCGCACCCCTAATGGTGGTATTATGTTGAAGAATAGTGTTTTGTAGCTGAGAATTGCTGTATCAAATAGTGTTACTGAACTCATTATGTATGCTGTAGTTTCCATGGAAATACATAGGAGGCATCACTTTCAGAGCAGCCCACAAACAAGTTTAAGATCTTGGCTGAATAAAACCGAGGTTGATAGCTCCTTTATCACCAACAAAACTGATAAAAGAATTAATCGTTCAGAGCAAGATGATGAATACAGGTTGGCTATCAACGCAAGAGTCTTGTTTCAGAATTACAAGGTAATGCATATAAAATAATGGAAGGAAGATCCTCATAGCATCCAGCTTTTTTAATTGAAAAGTTATAAATTCAGCTAAATGTCGTCAAAGTAATTTTTCAGATGTGATGGAAAACACTTGAATTCATACATGCAGGAAAAAGTAACTTTACTATATGTCTTTTTTCATTACATGTGGTGATTCTAAATGCTGTAACTTCTAACATCTTTACTCATTAAAAGAGCATAATAGCTTCATGCTCCTCTTAGATTTTTTTTTTTTTTACATAAGAGTGATATTACAGGGAGAAGCAGCTTTCTGAACATCATCAGCTGAGATATATTTGAGTACCAAATTAAAGCAAGGAGTGTTACCAGACAACTTGTACTGTGTTTCGCTATTTGTTGTGTAATCAGAATAGACAAGGGGTAATATTTTCTTCTTCTTGCCACTGATACCTTGATTTTGGTAAAGCCTATACACCAAGTGAGTAATCTTAGCACTCGCTCATGTCACTTTGTCAGTATTTAAGATAACGTAGATTTACGTATTTGAGCTTCAGTGTCTAGAATTACTATTATAATGAAATTATATATATATGTATGTGTTCATGCTACAGGCAAAGTGACCAAATTTGATGTATTTTATTTATCTGCATAAGAACATTGTTTTTTAAACCGTGCCCTAGGTATGACAACATAACACATAGGTAGATGCAGACTTGTTCTTTTTTTTTTTTTTTTTTTTTTTTTTTTCCAGAAATTCAGCAAGGAAATACTGCAAAACATTTATTTAGCATAATTCATAATGAGAATAAATAACATTTGTTCTTAGATAAATGAATGTTTGAAGTTTGTTTTCTCCTCTGGGCTATAGTTTTGATTGGTAAAAACTTCTTCTCAATCTTTAAGAGCACACAGCAAGCCAAGGTAGTCCGGGGTTTCTATCAGATATCTTAGAAAGTTTGGCTTTCAAATTGAGAAAGTAACAGAATCAATAAATAAATTCCACTGACAGGCCACATAAGGCATTCATGAAGATTAATCCAAAGCATGGAGTGACCTTCTCCAGATTGCACCCACAGTGGCTTATTTAGCCATCCAAGGTCTGCAGTCACCCTCTGGCTGTGCTCACTGCCTCTTCTCTGGTTACACAGAAGACACGAGTGCGGATAAGGGCCTTTTCTAGATAACTGCATTCAGTGTTGCCCTACATAAAACTTTTGTCATAGATAAATTTTGCAGTCTAGAACCCCAAGGAAATGTTATGAAGCTGTGTTATGGGAAGGCAAGCTGGATATCAGGAAAAGCTTTTCATTAGAGGGTGATCAGGCAATGGAACAGCCTCCCCAGGGCAATAGTCGTGGCTCTAAGTTGCTGGAGTTTGAGGTGCATTGGGGTGGTCCTGTCTGGAGCCAAGGGCTGGAATAGATGACCCTGGTAGTTTCTTTCAAATCCAGGATATTCTGTGGTTAATGTTTATCTCCCACTTTCATCAGTTGCATCAAGCTCTGGATTTTTTTAAATTGATAAAGCAAGTTTAAGGACGTTTTCCTGCAAGTTTCTAGGGTCACAATCACTAACAATGTCATGTTTTTTACTAAGATTCTTGTGGTGCTGCAAATCGTAATTCTACATTTCAATTCTGTATTATTCAGAGAACACCTCTGATGAAGAAGGTAGAATAATACAGAGCTTCTAAAAGGCTACATAAAATAATTTCATAATGTTGCTATTTGAGGCTGGAGGGGTTACAAAATAAAGGCTGCTTATGCCCTGACACACATACCAGATGGAATATTTCCTTCTCATAAATGTCTGTTAGTGGGATTGGGATCTTTGTAGAGCAGAGTCTGAGAACTACCTGAGCACTGAACAGTCCTGTTAACAGAGCTGTGACTGGTGCTTCACAT